CCTCTGATCATTTTGTACACCTCTATCAAGTCACCTCTCATCCTTCGTCGTTCTAAAGAGAAAAGCTCTAGCTCTCTCAACCTTTCCTCGTAAGACTTTCCCTCCATTCCAGGCAACATCCTGGTAAATCTCCTCTGCACCTTTTCCAATGCTTCCACATCTTTCCTGTAATGAGGTGACCAGAACTGGACACAATACTCCAGATGTGGCCGAACCGGGCTTTTGTATAGCTGGAGCATAACTTCACAGCTCTTGGACTCAATCCCTCTACTAACGAAAGCTAACACACCATATGCCTTCTTAACAACTCTATTCACCTGGGTGGCAGCTTTCAGCGAACTGTGGACATGAACCCCAAGATCCCTCTGCTCCTCCATACTGGCAAGAATCTTCCCGTTAACCCTGTATTCTGCTTTCAAGTTTGTCCTTCCAAAATGAATCGCCTCACATTTTTCAGGGTTAAACTCCATCTGCCACTTCTCAGCCCAGCTCTGCATCCTATCAACGTCCCTTTGTAACCTAGAACAGCCCTCCGCACTGTCCACAACGTGACCCACCTTCGTATCGTCTGCGAACTTACTAATCCACCCTTCCACTCCTTCATCTAAATCATTTTTAAAAATCGCAAATAGAAGAGGACCCAGAACAGATCCTTGTGGTACACCACTTGTAACTGAGCACCATGTTGAATATTTTCCGTCCACTACCACCCTTTGTCTTCTCAGGGTCAACCAATTCTGAATCCAATCTGCCACATTTCCCCCTATCCCATGCCTCCTTACTTTCTGCATGAGCCTACCATGGGGAACCTTATCAAACACCTTACTTAAATCCATGTCTACCACATCCACTGCTCTACCTTCATCCACGTGTTTGGTCACCTCTTCAAAGAATTCAATAAGGTTTGTGAGGCATGATCTACCCCTCACAAATCCATGCTGACTATCACAAATCAAACTGTGCCTATCCAAGTGATCATAAATCCTATCTCTCAGATCCCTTTCAAATAATTTGCCCACCACTGACGTAAGACTAATTGGCCTGTAATTTCCGGGGTTATCCCTATTCCCTGTTTTGAACAAGGGAATGACATTTGCCTCTCTCCAATCTTCTATACCTGTGGACAGTGAGGACGAAAAAATCATCGCCAAAGGCCCTGTGATCTCTTCGCTTGCTTCCCATAGAATCCTTGGATAAATCCCATCAGGCCCAGGGGACTTATCTATCTTCAAGTTCCTCAAAATTCCTAGTAGATCTTCCTTACTAACATCGATCAAGTTTCAGGCAGACCAAAGATCATCTTTTACCTGAGTCATGGAGCTGCTTAGGATGAACCTCGACAAAAACTACTGCATCTTTCTCCAGACTTCCTTTGTGAGGGCACATTCTAGCAGGATATGTGTGACAGTCTCTACCCCACTCCTGCAGCTGCTTCGAGGGGAGCATGTGGTGGTGCAGACCAACTCGGGGTACATGAAGTGATGTCTTGGTGCTTGTTGGAAAGTTCTGGTGATGAGGCCTTCTGCCAAATGACTTTGACAGTCTGCTCAGGGAACAACCCGACAGGATCCACCCTCGTCTTTTCCCGCAGGGTCTTGAGGGCACTACATGCTGACCACTTCCTGATGGACTTGTGGTGTTTTCCTTTACAAATTTCTCCACAAGGGACAGATGATATGGAATGGTCCAACTATTTGGAGCATTCTGCGGTGCTGAGACCAGTCCCATCCTTTACAATATTGGGGACGGGTAGAACCTCAGTACGTAGTGACACTTGGTGTTTGCGTACTAAGAGTCCGCACACAGCTTGATGCAGCCTCACACAAAGGTGGCTATCAGGATGAGGGTGGCATTGGGTATGTTCTTCCCCCTGACTTATCCAAATCTTTGTACATGCGTCCCTGTAGACACGGTCCATCTTAGACCTCCAGATGATGTCGAAGATGGCTCAGGTGATTGCAATAGCACAGGTTTGGCACTGTACTCATGATAAAACATGAGGAAGTTTTAAAGTACATTATGCTCAGATTAAATAAACATTTCTACAAACTGTGCTTACTGACAGTATCTTTTGTGACTCAGAATCCCACTCTTTTATGTTTCTTTTGTATAGCCTGCTCCTATCCCTTAAACATTCTGATATTGGTCCTTTTAAGGTAAGAGCAACTTTTTAAAAGATCTTAAACTATATTTTCTAAACAATCTGTTCAAAGATGGAGTTGCACACTTAAAGCAGATGGGATTTGAACCCAGACCTCCTGTTCAGTGGTACAGACACTGTGCCATAAGAACTCTGTAATTTCACCTGTATGTGGTGAAATGTGCTGAGACTGAAACCTGATAGTGCTGTTATAAACTCAAGGGTTGCCACTATTCAATATAGCAGCTTCAGTCATTCATCAGATTTGAACTGAATTGCTCACTTCAATGCTTTGCTACTTGAAAATGAGACTCTGTTCTGTGAGGACTTTAGCTGAGCGTGGGATTCTTGGCAACTACGTAGAAACAGCTGCTTACAAACCAGAAGACAGCAAGGTGAATTCAATTTGGCCTTCATTTTGAGAGGGCTCGAATACACGAGCAGGGATGTACTGCTGAGGCTGTATAAGGCTCTGGTCAGATCGCACTTGGAATATTGTGAGCAGTCTCAGGCCCCGTATCTAAGGAAGGATGTGCTAGCCTTGGAAGGGGGCCTAGGGCCTAGTAAATGATCCCAAGGATGAAAGGCTAGTCATATGAGGATCGTTTGAGGACTCTAGGTCTGTGCTCAATGGCGTGTAGAAGGATGAGGGGGAATCTGATTGACACTTACAGAATACTGAGAGGCCTAGGTAGACTGGATGTGGAGAAGATGTTTCCAGTAATAGGAGAGACTAGGTCCCGAGGGTACAGCCTCAAAGTGAAGAGACAACCCTTTAGAACTGAGATGAGGAGGAATTTCTTCAGCCAGTAGGTGTTAATCTGTCACAGAGGGCTGTGGAGGCCAACACATTGAGTGTATATAAGACAGACTTAGACAGGTTCTTTATTAGTAAGAGGATCAAACATTATGGGGAGAAAGCAGGAGAATGGGGTTGAGAAACATATCAGCTGTGATCGAATGGTGGAGCAGACTTAATGGGCCGTATAGCCTAGTTCTAATCCTATATATGGTCTCATGATCTGATGTCTGCTCTTGCGAACAATTAATTCCATGCTTTCTGAAGAAGGGTGCCGACCCAAAACGTCAGCTTTCCTGCTCCTCTGATGCAGCCTGGCCTGCTGTGTTGATCAGCTCTACACCTTGTTGTCTCTAATTCCATGCTTTTCACTGCTTCTGCCTACAGCTCTATCTGCTGGTGTTGTTCTGTATAGTAGCTTTGACTGAACAATTGTAAATTGAAAATAGTAGAAAACTAATGCCTCCCCTTCTTAGTAAATGAGAGGCGGGGCGGGGGGGGGCGCGTTGATTAGCTCATTTGGCTCGATGAGCAGTTTACAATGTAGAGTAATGCCAACAATGTGGATTCAATTAATACAATGGCTGAGGTTACCATAAAGCACTCTCCTTCACAACCTCTCCCCTTACCTAAGGCACAGTGACCCTCTGGTTAAACCATCACCAACTGTCTCTCTCTGATGAAACAGCAGCCTGATGCTCTAGTAGGATTATGGCAACTCTCTCTTTAGTAAATGAGACATTGAATGTTTTGATGATTCATCTCCAAATTCTAAACAGTTAACTGAACAATGTCTTAACCATTCATATTCTTCCATATTTTAACTTCTGTATTAATTTACTAATATACTCAGTTATTTAATCTATCTTAGTTTCGAATATACTTAATGACTCAGCCTCTATAACCCTCTATGTTAAAGCATTCCAGAGATTCTCTACCCACTCAGAGAAGAAATTCTTCATCTCTGCCTTAAATATGCAACCCCTTTCTCTGAGATTATGCCCTTTGGACTTAGAATCTCTGTAAGGTGAAATAACCTTTCCTTATGTGCTGCTACGTGATTGGATGTCATGAGAAGGTTGTATCCTTTCCAATGTGACCATCACATTTCACACGTATTTTATTTCCTGGCTTGAGTGGTGTGGCTCTAAAGTTCTTGTTCTGTTCTGCCTTTACTCACATGCAATCCTTCTGGTCTTGATCATATTTGTATACATGTTGGTCACAAACTGCGCCGGATATGTCATGAGGAGGAGGGCCTGGGATGAGGGCGTACAACACAACCTAACCACGGGAGATAGGGGGATTTCTGTGGTTGATGCAGGTTGAAGCAACTTTGCTCAGGTTGGGATCAGGAACAGCACCAGGACCTGTGATTTCTGTTCCTATGCTTGGGTCTGCACTTACACAGTTGAATGTAACTATATGTTTTCTAGTAAGCTGGTGAGGACTTACACTGTATTTGCAAAGAAAACAATAATGGTCTTGCTTCCCAGACTTGGTCTCAGCTGTAACTGCAGCTATCACTTCTTTTTCCAAGTATATGTAAATCTCCAACCCTCTCTATTAGCTTTTGTTTGATGGGGTATTATTTTTGATGAGTGAAACACAGGCAGTTTATGATTTTACTGAATTCCTCGCTGTTGAATGTTAGTGTCACTCCTCAATACTTGATTCCGAGCAAAGCCGAATCTGGTCAAGCTTTTGGGATGAAGTCGACTCTCTCTACAACTGCTATAGTTGTTAGTGACATTCACTAGTGTACAAAACCTGTGAAATCAACACTTAACCCCAACCCACAGTTGTGGAGAAATTCACAGACATCTTAAGAGGATGTCACACAGATGTGATATTATAGTGGTTTGAGGTGCCAAACACTGACAATTTTGTTGTAAATGGAAAAGATATGTGTTTGCCTTGATTATAGCACAGTTAATAATAGTTTCAAGCAAAAATAGATGAATCAAAGATTCAATCAGAAAACAGTAGTTTACATTTCAAGTTACGTGTCATGAAAACAGAATTTAATTGATTCACTCTGAACTTGTGGCCTTAATTTTTATTTACATCAAACCACAGAAATCCAAGAACTCTGTTCATGAAAATAAGTATCTGACTTATTCAGGATCCTTGGATAGACAGTCATGTCAATGTTCCTCTCCATACTTCATGCTGTCTCCCCGCTCTCTACTTGTAGCATGTGCTTCTGAATTCACTCATGAATTTCACACTATTTTACAAGGCATTTAAAAAGGAGAAAACTGTGAATACAACTAATCTAATAATGTTTAAACTTATTCTCTGCCTTTCTTATTGTAGGTGACTATTCTACAGACTATATTGAACTTTGCAGTAAAGATAGTGGCGTTACCGAAAATCAATGGTAAGTTTGTGGCAGAGATGGCCCAGTGATCTTATTGCTGACGTTAATCCAGACAGCCAGATAATGTTCTGGGGACCCAGGTTTGAATCCTGCCACAGCAGATGGTAGAATTTGAATTCAAAAAAAGTCTGGAATTAAGAATCTAGTGATAACCATGAATCTATTGTTGATTGTTGGGAAAAACCCAGCTAGTTCACTAATGTCCATTAGTTGATTCTCAACTGCCCTCTGGGCAATTAGAGATGGGCAATAAATGCTGCCTAGCTAGTAATGACCTCAACCATGAATGAATACAGAAAACAAAATCGAACATGAAAGTGGACAGTATTAAGTGCATCATTAATTAGAATTCACCTTCACAGCATTAAACTCAAAGGCTGACATCTCGAGAGATACACTTTTCATGACTGCCTTAATTGCAGAGGTCAGTGTTCTGTTTCAGAGACTGTGTCTTGCAAACCAATCTTGTTATAGATATGCTGTAGATTTTGGTGACTTACTTTGAGGATGATTTTAGCTTAATGTGAGGTGGGAAAGATATAGGATCACACAACACATCTATTCTATACTGCATTTATGTAATATTACACTTTGCTGATTAGAATGGGGACAAAGATCAGGAAGGGATTACGCAGCATGCAACCAATCAGTCATCCGATAGACGGATTCGGTCACAATTGTCCACAAAGTGTTTCAGTTTCTTTCCAGATTTTAATATCGATGAGCTAATATAGCCTGCAATCTCATTAGTGCTCTTTCGGCATAGCCTCTCCCACTCCAATTCACTGACTTGTGGCTGTGCAAAATGTCCAGGACGCCATGCACAGCATCTAACTTGTGGTTTTTTCCCTCCCCACCATCCTGATATTTCTGGAGTGGAGCCTGAGGCACCTGCTTTGGTTTTAGCAGAGTCAAATACACAATCTTCAGAAACTCAGCCACAACTTCAAGTGGTGGCATCGGGGTAATGCCACTAGCTTAGTAAACCAAAAGCCCAGCATAATTAATGCTCCAGAAGCAAGGGTCCAAATCCCATCACAGAAACGTAGAAAATAGGTGAACGAATATGCCATTTGTCCCTTTGAGGCTGCACCACCATTCAGTATGATCATGGTTGATCATGCAATTTCAGGGTCCCACTCCCACATTCTCTCCATACCTCTTGATCCCTTCAGCCACAAAGGCCACGTCCAGCTCCATCTTGAATATACCTCACAAATTGGCCCCAACACCTTTCTGTGGTAGAGAATTCCACAGGTTCACAAATCTGAGTGAAGCAATGCTGCCTCATCTCAGGCCTGGATGGCTTACCCTTTATTCTTAGACTGTGATCCCTGGTTCTGGACTTCCCTGACATCAGGAGCATTCTTCCTGCATCTAGCCTGTCTAGACCCATCAGGATTTTATATGTTTCTATGAGATCCCCCTTCATTCTTCTCAATTCATGTCTGCAACTGGAATTTAAATTTGATGAATAAATGATTCCGGCATTGGAAGTAGCTTCAGTATTGGCGACAATGAAAATATCGTTGATTGTTGAGGGGAAAAGACAGAAATCTACTGTCTTTACCTTGTCAGTCTACATGTGACTCTGGACCCACAGCAATGTGATTGACACTTAAATGCTCTGTCAAACAGCCTAGAAAACTCAGTTCAAGGGTAATTGGGAGTGGGCAATGAGTTTTGTCCTTTCCATCGAAGCCCACATCCCATTAATAGGATACAGAAAAAACATGAGGACTTCAAGATGAGGAAGTGCCAGTATTGGACTGGGGTGGACAAAGTCAGAAGTTACATGACACCAGGTTATAGTCCAACAAGTTTATTTGAAATCGCAAGCTTTCTGAGCACTGCTCCTTTTTCAGGTGAAAGCTTGTGAATTCAAATAAACCTGTTGGACTATAACCTAGTGTCATGTGACAGCTGACATTTTACATCTTCAATACATTTCAAAGTGCTTCACAGCCAATGAATTGCTTTTACAGTAAAGTTACTATTGTTATCTAGGCAAATGCTGATGTCAATTTGCTGACAGCATGATCTCAAACTTGAATTGGGATGAATGACCAGTTCATGTTGAGTGAAGAATATTGGCAAGAACACCAGTCAAACTGCCTGCTTTTCTTAAATAGTGCCATGGGATCTTATATAAACATCTAAATGAGTTTAATAAAAAGATAAGTGTTTTGCCAAGGCAGCATTCCATCATTTCTTACTTTGCTTAGCTTCTGGATTGGGGACGAAGTCCATAACATGTCTTCTGGTTCCCATCTGTATGAAGTAACCACACTTTCGATTCAAAACGCTAAACTTTCATCTGATCTATTTATTACTGCTGTCTATATGGCTGGTAGACTCATACTGATACATAGATTATGTACCTTTTATACTTATACAGAACACATGCCAGCAGTGCCCCTGGGACATATGTTCATATAATAATTAATTCCTTGCTTTTTATTAATAATATAATAAGTTTCCAGTTTGAACCAAACTTTTATTCTCAATTTCCTTTATCCCAAAGTTTTTGTTTGTATCCTTCACCCTTGTAGCATAATAAATCAATACCCACATGTAGTGGAATGTCGAAGGAGTGTAGGAACGTGACTGGGTAGGATTGGTGTGAAAACTGAAAAAAGACACATTTTGTCAAGCTTTTCACCTTGCACTCATCAGGACCCTTCACAAGAAAGGCTAAAGGGAAAACAACATTGATACTGTATGAGAGGAGAGTTGTGATTGGTTGGCAACTGGATGCTGATTGGTCTGTAAAGACAGGGTTGTCAGTCAGGCTCACAGTGTGGCACATTTGCATGACTATTAGCTCCACATATTAAAACTCAGGACCTTGTTTTTGTAGATAAAAAGAAATTGTACAAACATTGAACCTGTTTCAACTCAACAAAATAGGTAACAGTCATACTCTGATTCATTTCTCAGGGGATTACCTTGACCAAACAGGGTCAAGCTGCCTGATTTAAAATATAAACAAAGCCTATCAGTTAACTGTCAGTCATTAACTGGTGCAATCTCTACGGCAATACCTTAACCAATCAGAATCCAAGTCCCAAACAATCAGCACTCTCCTTTCATGCAGTATAAATGTTGTTTTTCCTTTACTTTGATATTTCTTGCAAATTGTCCTGATGAGTGCAAGATGGCAAGCTTTGAAAAGTATCTTCTTTCAGATACATTTAATTCTGTGAATGTTGTACAAAATTGTCATGTGTTTCTTTACAGAAAGACTGGCCAATGGAGTTCCACTACCCAGAGTGGATCACTTAAGCTTTGTAAATCCTCTTATTAAGGTGAACCAGGTGAGTAACTGCAGGATACATGATCTTCATAACGACAGTCATTATGTTTGACATACTAAAGTTAGGTAATGTATCTAACTGGAGGAACCCACAAGGAGATGGTTATCTCTTAAAGAAACAAATGAGAGAGAGAGAGTCATGTAGTTTTTCTTTCTTGTCCCACCTTGGGATGCTGCCTATGGTTAATTTTGTTTTCATAAGCATATAACATTCTGGTGTGTAGTCACTGTTTGGTTTAAGCCAGATATTAATACAAATTAAATAGCAATAAAGGTGACAGAATTTTAAATGAGTTGAGCCGATAATCACTCCATCACTTGTGGTCCGTTTAAATGGTTCAACATCAAAGCAATTCCCATCCTCAAAACTAGACAGATATTCAGATTAGCAGATGAGGAGTTAGTGGTGGCAGTGGTATTATCACTAGACTGTTAATCCAGAAACTCAGCTGATGCTCTGGGGACCCAGGTTTGAATCTTGCCATGGTAGATGGTGGAGCTGGAATTCAATTCTTAAAAATCTGGAATTAAGAATCTACTGATGACCATGAAACCGTTGATTGTCAGAAAACCCCATTTGACTCACTAATGTCCTTCAGGGAAAGAAATCTGCCATCCACACCTGGTCTGGCCTACATGTAACTCCAGACACACAGCAATGTGGTTAACTGTTAACTCCTCTCTGAAATGGCTTAGCAAGCCACTCAGTTGTGTCAATTTCTTCATTCAGACTTTGGAGCAACGAAACTGGATGGACCACCTAGCATCGATCTAGATACCAGAAAAGGCCATGGTAGAAACAGCCCTGATATATCACGGAATCATGTATAATAGACAATGCCCCAGACACCGCTATCACCATCCCTGAGTATGTCCTATCCCACCAGCAGGACAGATCCAGCAGAGGTGGCAGCAGAGTTATATATAGTTGGGAGGGAGTTGCCCTGGGAATCCTCAACATTGACTCTCGACCCCATGAAATCTTGTGGCTTCAGGTTAAACTGAGGCAAGGAGACCTCCTGCTGATTTATCACATACCGTCCTCCCTCAGCAGATGAATCAGTACTCCGCCACATTGAACATCACTTGGAGGAAGCACTGGTGATGGCAAGGACACAAAATGTACTCTGGGTGGGAGATTTCAATATCCACCACAAGAGTGGCAAATCCAGTTGTGAATGCTGGTGGAAATTAAACAACTCATTGAAGGAGGAGGCTCCACAAATATCCCCATCCTCCATGATGGAAGAGCACAGCACATCAGTACAAAAGATAAGGCTGAAGCTTTTGCAGCAATGTTCAGCCAGAAGTGCCGAGTGGAGTCCATCTCAGCCTCCTTCAGTGATCCCCAGCATTACAGATACCAGTCTTCAGCCAATTTGATTCATTCTACCTGATATCAAGAAACAGTTGGAGCCACTGGATACTACGTAGATTATCGGCCTTGACAACATTCCGGCAATAGTACTGAAGACTTGTGCCCAGATCTTGCCGCTCCCCTAGCCAAGCACTTCCAGTACAGTTACAAACACTGGTATCTACCTGATAATGTGGAAAGTTGCCCAAGTATGTCCTGTACACAAAAAAAAACAAGAAAAATCCAACCCGGCCAATTACTGCCCCATCAGTCCACTCTCGATCATCAGTAAAGTGATGGAAGGTGTTATCAATAGTGCTATCAAGCAGCACCTGTTCAGCAATAACCTGCTCAGTGATGCTCAGTTTGGTTTCTGCCAGGGCCACTCACTTCCTGACTTTATTACAGTTTTGGTCCAAACACGGACAAAAGAGCTGAATTCCAGGGGTGAGGTGAGGTGAGATCCCTTGACATCAAGGCTGCATTCAACCGAGTGTAGCATCAAGGAGCCCTCGCAAAACTGGAATCAATGCGAATCAGGGAGCAAATTCTCCACAGATTGCAGTCATTCTTGGCACATGGAAAGATGGTCGTGCTTGTTGGAGATCAATCATCTCAGCTCCAGGACATCTCTGCAGGAGTTCCTCAGGGAAGTGTCCTAGGCCCCACCATCTTCAGCTGCTTCATCAATGACCTTCCCTCCATCATAAGGTCAGAATTGGGGATTTTTGCCGATGATTGCACAATGCATTTCCAACTGCTCAGACACTCAAGCAGTCCATATTCAAATAAAACAAGGTCTGGACAATGTCCAAGCTTGGGCTGACAAGTGGCAAATAACATTTATGCCACATAAATGCCAGGCAATGAACATCACCAAAAAGACAGAACCTAATCACTGGCCCGTGACATTCAATGGTGTTACTCACTAAATTCCCCACTATAAGCAACTTGGGGGTACCATTGACCAGAAATTCATTTAGACTCACCACATAAATACAGTGGTTACAAAGCACTGAATAACTCATCTTCTAACTCCCCTAATGCCTGTCCACCATCTACAAGGTATAAGCTATGACTGTGATGGAATATTCCCCACTTGCCTGGAAGGGTGCAGCTCCAACAACACTCAAAAAGCCAGACACCAACCAGGACAAAGCAGCCCACAGGATTGGTACCAGATCCACAAGCATCCATTCTGTCCACCACTGATACTCAGTAGTAGTGTGTACAATCTACAAGATGCACTGCAGAAATTCACCAAAGATCCTTCGACAGCACCTTCCAAACCCACGGCCACTTCCATCTAGAAGGACAAGGGCTGCAGATATTTGGGAACAGCACCACCTGCAAGTTGTCCTCCAAGCCATCCTGACTTGGAAGTATATTGCTGTTTCTTCATTGTTGCTGGGTCAAAATTCTGCCTCCCTTGGGGCATTGTGTGTTGATATACAGCAGATGGATTGCAGCAGTTCAAGAAGGTAGCTCATGACCATCTTCTCAAGGGCAACTAGGGATAGGCAATAATCACTAGTGCAGCCATTGACTCCAATGTCTCATGAGTGAATTAAAAAAGGGTGATCTTCCATCACTTTTCCCAATTTAAAGTGTTCCTCAAATTGCCTGTGCATTTGGAGATCTGGTTGTAGAAGCCACATGAACTCAGTGTTAACTTTCTTTAACAGCAGACACCATTGAAACCTGACTCATTTCTGTTTCTCTGGTGCTAATGCTTTCGTTAAACACAATTTAAATTTATCTGAGAGGGAATGTACTGTAACGGTACCAGCAACAAGACACTTAACTAATGTACAGAGGCTAGAGAAGCTGTGCTTGTTCTTCTTTGAAGTGAGTTAGACAGAATAGGCACAGAAGCACGATTTCCAGAGACAGAATGGACAGTATCTAATGTTCACAAATTTAAGATAATTGGCAAAAGCTCCGAGGGCAATGAAGAGAAATGATTTTATATCACGAGTTACAATCGGGAATGGACTGCGAGAAAACAGAGTGGAAGGAGATTCTATTGTAACTCGCAAGGAGAATTGAATAACTACTTGTAAAGAATAACAACACTGAGGAAAGAGCATTAGAATGGGACTAATTAGAAAATTCTTTCAAAGAAGCGCAATGAATCAAGTGGCCTTCTCCAGCACTGTGACTTTATGTTTCTATCCCTTTCATTCAGCACTACAGGAAATAAACAGTATAGGTGCACAGCAATCTATGAAAATATACAAAGCTAGGATATGAGAACTAAACTTTGATGCTGTGTTTCAAAGCATGTAATAGTATTTTACTGAGAGAAGAGAGGTTCATTTATAATATTGTAATGTTGCTGTTTTTCAGGATGTTTTGGTGATTGCAACTGACATCCGTTATGGGTCCTAACCAGCTGTTGTTTACAACAAACACCATGATGGAAACCAGACCAGACCTGGAACAATTCAACCATTTCTTATGCTGAGAATTGCTTACACCTGGCCTTAGATTAAAGTTTTGTGCATTTTCTGTCAAAACAACTTTAATTTCTAATTCTATGCTTTTCATCAAACAAGACACTCAATGAAAAAGAAAGCAACAAGTAAAAGTCATTCCAGTCACTGTTGCTTTGTCATCAAATAAGAGACAAAACAAAGCCACAATTTTTTATACATTCATGGCGTGTAGACATCGCTGGCTAGTCCAGCATTTATTGCCCATTCGAATTGCCCATGAGAAGATGCTGGACAGCCACCTTCTTGAACAGATGCAGTAATTGCAGGAGTAGGGGTCCCGTACTTTGCAGGGTAAATGAACTGTTTCCAAACAGCATTTACTCTCCCTATTAGTCAATATGTGGCTGATTTACTGAGTGTATTTGTGAAGTTGTTGCTGTTTCCTGTGTGGCTCCCTGTTATTTCTGGTTTCTCTTTTAAATCAAATACAGTCTGTGGCAAATATATATTTGAATCTGTGAGTCAATTTATTATACCCTTCTCCCCACACATTTGGAAGAGCACTAGGTTTGAGAAATTAATTTAACACACTTGCAGAACAGAATCTCCTTCATCATCTACTGTTTCTTCTGAAGTTTATTTACAAAAATACAATGAATGACTTATTAACCACCATGTCATAGAGGGCTACGTTATTGTAACAATACTCATTGGAGTTCATTGCTCAAAATATCTGATGCTATTCTGCCAAAATTGAAAATATGCTTTTCGTCAGCAAATTATCAGTAAAATGTTTGAGTACTTTTTCACATGGTATTAAACATAGCATGGATTTAATTGCTTACTAATGGGGTTCCCATGGTGTTTATCTAGTTATTAAATATACCATCCCATTAAAAGAGGTTTTATAATCAAAGTTTAGCAGGATGCATGGTCTGAAGGATGCATTGTGGAAACTCAGAGGTATCTTTAATACCCTAAAAGGGCAACAGGTATACTACCTCCATGATCTCCTTCATTCTGAATCAGATGTATATTACTGGATCTCCCTACCTAATAACAATGTGATGTACTGTCACAATACAGCAAGTCATGTAGTGACCCATCACCACCCTCTCGAGGCAACCACAGATGGACAATAAATGCTGGCTTTGTCAGTGATGTCCATGTCCTGAGGATAAATTTAAAACTTTAAGAAATAATTGTGACAGAGCATAATGTATGCAGGATGAAAATATTTTGTATCTAAAATTTAAGGTGAGCTGCTGTGTCTAATATAATAAACAATTGCAGCAATTGTTCTGAGACAAAATCAACATTATCTCTGTTCGTGCTACTGATATAAAAGTAAATGTGTATTAATCATAGAATCCATAGTGTGGAAGCAGGCCATTTGGCCCACACTGACCCTCTGAGAAGCATCCCATCCCCCTAACCTATTCCTGTGTAACCCTGCATTTCCCATGACTAATCCACCGAGCCTGCACATCCCTGGACACTATGGGCAATCCACGGCCAATCCACTTAACCTGCACATCTTTGGACTTTGGGAGGAAACCAGAGCACCCAGAGGCAACCCACACAGACATGGAGAATGGGCAAACTCCACACAGAAGGTCACCCAAGACTGGAATTGGACCTGAGTCCCTGGTGCTGTGAGGCAGCAGTGCTAACCACTGAACCACCATGCTGCCTTCAAATATTTTAACAAGCTTAGCCACTTCTAAAGCTCTTTCATCCTCCAATTATCTTTGAAAACCTGCACAACAATCAATGTTTGTCAAAAATACATTGGCAAACTATGATCAGTCTAGGTAACAGTAAATCACCAGTTTATTTCACCATCCAGTTGGATCTTGATAAAACTTAAACGATGATTTAAAACATCCAAACAATGTCAAAAATTCAAAGACTACCTGGTCAACTCAGCTTGTTCCATACAATTGTGACCCATGTGATTTGCTGGAAGGGCGAACTGGGTTAAAAAAAATCTGTGAAATTCCTCTCTGAACCATGTAGATAATTGTAATTGTCCAGCAGATTCCACTGGCCCTGCATTCTTTGATGTACCTATATTTCTAAGAGATGGTATCTTCCCCCGCAAACCAGATACAGTTTCTCATTTGAAGGAACTCAATAAGTAGTTTGCATTCTTACCTCATTACTGGAATTCAGCTGTTTTGCTGATGCTAAGACCAAACCTATAATGAGATCGTGGTTTGTTTTATTGATGCTTTTTGTCAGCAAATTTATGTTTTGAATTTTGGCAGAATAGCATCAGAGACAGCTTCAGCAATGAACTCCAATGAGTATTGTTACAATAACCAATGATTCTGGTAGACCCCAAATTGAGTGCCAGTGAACACATTATTGTTGAGGAAAAGAAAAGGAAAAGACTTCATGTTAAGAGTGTTGCTGTGGCAAACAAACTAAAAACATAGGTTAAATCTTAACTAAGTGGCAATAAATACAATAAAGAAAATGTACTTTTGCTTAAGCTAATTAATACAATCTAAATATGCCAATATGAAATTTTTTGCTTTATGTTACGCTATTGGCTCATTTAGGACTGTGCATGACCAATTCCCAAATTTATCCAAATTTTCAAGCAGGCTCACTTCACGTTGCCCTACCAGGTCAAAGTTCTTAGCGTCCTTTGAAAATCTTTCCACTCGGTCTGAGTGTTCTAGGTTCAATTTTCAACAGAAAGGCCCACCTTAGTAATTCCCTGTTTCTTAAATTTCAGAAATCTTGGTCTGTCCTGTCCTCTTCCATTCAAACAGAAAATGAACTTTTTACAAGGATTCTGACTACTTGTCAACACAATAAAAAACTCATCCTGCTCTTCACAGCAGGAGCCATTGCTTCTCCATACAGCAGTAATTCCTTTACCTCTTTCTCTCTCTTGGCGATTCTATAGCAGATGAAAGAGCTGAAGTAGGCAAGCATGGTCTGTAGGCCTAACCTACATACAGAACTTCATCATCTGCAGATGTGTAGATTCTGTTGGCATGACTCTACTGGAGATAAGTCACCGTACAAAGCTGTGGGTAACCACTCTCTCCCTGTGTCTTCCAGCCAGTTTTCAACCCAGTACAAGTAATATCCACTAATCCCAAAGCTTTTGTCTATGAGTGAAATCTCTTTAGGTATCTTATCAAGTGTTTTTTGATGCCCAAGTAAACAATAACTAGTTGGCTTCCCTCATTAACCACATTCCTAAGTTCCTCAAAAAATTACAATTATATTTGTAAACCATGGACTTTTTAATGAAGCCATCTTGGGTAACATGTCCCTCTTTATCTCAGCAACTTTATATTGCATTCTTTAATTCCTTTAAACATTCTTTCTGTAATTAATGGGCCTATTGTTACACAGGTTTGTCTTGTCACATTTTTCAAAGGTAGTGCTCACATTAACCTCCTCAGATTCTATGGGGCCTTCCCATAGTGCAGTTAGCTGCTAAAATTACAAGCAGTGGTTTGCATAGCACATTACTCTCCTTCCGGAGGACCTTTGGGTGGATAGACTCTGAAACATTGCACTCTTAATTTTCAAGTTCTTATTTCTAGCTAAAATAACAGATTATAGAGCTAGGGACAGGATGAGGCCACAGAGGGATTGGAAAAAAATGAATCAGAATTTATAGTCAATGTGTTTTTAACTAGGTGTTGATGTAGTCGGCAAGCATGGCTGAGATAGATAAAACAGGCTTGCTCTGAGTTTGAACACGCGCAACAGATTTTTGGATGGTTTGAAGTTTACGGAAGGCAGAACGTGGATGAGTAGAAATTTCAATGATTGCCTACAATTCTCTTTTCCACTAATACAGTAGTTATAACACAGATGGAGAAAGACTTCAAATGTAAAACTTGGCAATGATACTCAATTAGTTTGTTTCAATTAACAATGGTTGTAGAGGTTTACTGAACGTTGAGATATTTAAACTGAAGGCTGTTTGGCCTTTAAACTTGATAGGCAATGAACTTCCCCATAAACTAATTTAAATAATTCCAATTCAGTTCCTGTCCATTTTGATACCAAAAGTATTACAATGTAAGAACTTTTTGTCCAAGACCAACATAGGTACATAGGAGCAGGAGTAGGCCATTCAGTCCCTTGAATCTATTCTCCAAGATTATGGCTATCCCCTGATCTAATTCCATGTACCTGTCTTACTTAAGTAAAGAAGCAATGATCGAATGGACTGCTTTATCCTAGATACCTCTAAACTTCATGAATGTGGATGGCACAGTGGCTAGCACTGCTGCCTCACAGTGCCAGGGACCAGGATTCAATTTCAGCCTTGGGTGACTGTGTGGAATTCTGCTGGGTACTTTTGTTTTCTTCCACAGTCCAAAAACGTTCAGGTTTGGTGGACTGTCCATGCTTAATTGTCTCTTCGTGTCCAGGGATGTGCAGCTAAGTGGGTTAGCCATGGTAAATGACAGGGATAGGGGGAGATGCTCTTCAGAGGGTTGGCGTAGACACGGTGGGCCGAATAGCCACTTTATGCACTATAGGGATTCTGTGACTTCTTTGTTTTTGTAGCTACACCTATCCAAGCCAGTGTCAAATAATCTCGCACACTCCTCATGTGAGCCTTCTAGATTATAGAGAAAGCTGGAGGCATACCCAACCCTGCTGCGTTCGCAGACAGATGGTTAATGATGTTGGTTGAGTTAAGGCTTTGAATAGTGATAGTTCACTTCATCATAGGAGGCCAGTTGTAAATGCTTATTGCCGATGGTTCTGTTAAAGTTTGCCAATGAAACAATGGAAGAAGGTAGCGATAAGGAGGCTAACCTGAGGAAATCTTGGAATGATGTTTGTGAAATGGTCATGATTTGCTTCCTACAATCATTGATATTTTCCTTGCATCAGCTTCAACTTCAGCCACTGAAGAGATTCCCTGTTTCCCATAGTCAACCTAATTTGCTCAGACTGTTGGTGCTAATTTGAGTCACTTACTGCTTTGATTCTAAAGATGTGATTTTACCATTACTCTGTCAATGTGGACTTAACAGATAAATGCCAATCATATTGCACAACCCTTCCGTCCCCAACATCACTAAAAAGCTCCAGTTAGTTTGTTAATGCAAATAACAACAACTAACCAAAGACGAGAGAATGATAAATGAGCCCAGGTCCCTGGCGCTGTGAGATAGCAGTGCTAACCGCTGTGCCACCCCCTGGAATCCAAACATTCGAGGAAAGTATGTTTAGTATTAAAGTTAATTGTAACTGCTTTCCTAATAAAGTTGGGACTGTTTTGCTTTGGTGTCAGCTTGTGTTCCTATTGATTTGACTGCTTTGGTATTGTGGGACACCTGGCCAAATTAATTCATAACATTCTGGTTGGAGCTGTTTAACTTTTTTAAGGAGAAACAAAACAACATATTATACACCCAAGTTTCTTTTTTTATTCATTTATAGGGCGTGAGCTTTGCTGGCCGGGCCAGCATTTACAGCCGATCCCGAGTTGCCCCTTGGGAAGATGATAGTG